AGAAAGATAACTGAAGATCGTCGCGGCGATTTTTATCTCGTGTTATTGTTCGTTACGGTGTATACATACTATTTACTGCTACATAAATTTTCTATGTGTGCGCCGGACGGAGGCGCATTTTTTTATACGAAATAAAAAAAGCACAGGCAACCAAGAGAAAACGGATTCGTCTAATTCATTGCATCGTTAACTTCTTCGCATACTTGATTTCCGACTTTATTTATTACAATAAGACTTGCCTCGTTATCATATATTAATTGTATTCAATCGCGATGTGAATTAATCGACAGACGCATACCTTACCGAGCGAGCGATAAAGCCATTTCAATATTAAACAAATAAAAGATAAAAATTATTTCGGCCCGAGTGGAATCTTCCTGCTCGTAGATGCACACGTTCAGTAAAAAGAATTTCGCTGATGACGTCTGACATCGCGTTTCGCAGGTGCAGCGCGAATTCCAGTCATCGCAGGTAGTTGCGTAATTCGTGATCCGTATCCGGTTTTCATGAGAACTGTACGTCGCATGGACGATGCATGCGTTAATTACAATCTTAATTTTTTTACGTTGCGAAGAAATGATTATGAGAACGCAAAACAAATTATTAAAAATTATTCCAATACTCGTTGTGTGAGAAGGAACACATCATGACGGGAAATCTATATTTGCTCGCAAATATAATTGTTATGCGGGGAAAACCCGATTATAGTATTGCGATACTATAAAGTAATTCCACTGATGCGATTTGTAATTGTAATAAAAGCAGGTATAAGCTTTACGAGCTATGGAAACTTTCAATTTGCATCGTGACTACTTCTTTGTATCACTAATCGTCTTTTATAGACGCTGACATAAATTTCTGAGCGGATCCGAACATTAATGCTTATTCCTAAATAAACATGATGATATATTTTCAAGTCTGCGAACGTCGAAATCAAAATTGAATATTTTTCAATTTATCATTAATATAATTTATTTCATATTTTCGAAATTAATTTACAAATTGTTAATTTAAGCTTTGCGTCAATTTTTTTTAAAGAAAAATTTCGTGAAAGATTGGTTGGAATTTTTCGATCATTTAAATATCTTGGAACTTGAATCTCTTATTTGAATTTTAATATTATCAATATGTAGATGACTACAGATTGAGAATTCAGATCATGAATCGATTGTCGGCACGTTTTTTTTTTATTCTCTCAAAGATACGGGCGTTATCGATTTCTTTTCGTGTTCCTCAGAGAGCACTCGTCGAGAATTTTCTATCGGTCGGCTCCCGGCGGTGTCGTTCTTCTTACTGGGAAACGAACGTGGTCTGAAATTACGCTAGCATGCACGGGGAACCGCACGCGTGACAGACATGCCCGAGGTCCCTCGGTGATGGGATGACGATTGTGTGTACACGAAGTTCTTACAGCGTGGAACGCAGCCACGCATGTATGAGGTATTTCGTAAATTAATATGCACGATTTCAATCGTTCTATGTAGGAATGCGACCGACACCGTGCGAAAACGCGCGAATTGCGCGCATATTACGCGTCACTTTCGTTCGCAGCCTTTGATGAGGTCACTCCGAGCGATCGGAAAGAGATATAATGATTTTCGACGCATCGTACCGCTCGTCTTATTATTTCGCAGCCGTATCGGTTTTTCACCGTTGCTGCGACATTGCGCGCGAGCTGTCTCTTCTCACATTTAACGATCGCACGTACCTGTGTGTAAACTTGGCGTCAATACGCTTTCAAAGAATTGA